TCCAACGACCTACAGGCCGCCTCCTGTTATTTTACTCACTGCTTGTCGTGTTTCCAATCATCTCACCATTCATCCGGTATAGCAATTCTTGTTTTTCGTCCTGCTTCCACCGACTTGCTCTCTTAGACCATTTTGACATCCCCAACGTTTTTTATCTGATACCTTGTCCATTTGTTCCATTTTTAATTATGTTCACTGCATCTTCAATTATTTTTTTCATTTTGGGTTTCTCCTGTACGGAGGATTATGTTGTACATTTGATCATGCCTATGCATGCCTCACGGGGCTCCGTGAAATATACACTTATTATTATTATTAAGTGTTCAGAATGATTATATGTACAACAAAAGTGCGGGTATATAGAAGGTTCAATTAGGAGATATTCATAAGGGAGATGAGTGGGGAACGGAACGAAAACGCAATTCAAACGGAGCACAAAGCGGACAAGGTCACAGATGTAGGTGTGGAGGACGGAGTAATTCACTGGATAAGCATATCAACGGAAATTAAAGGAAGAGCTACATTTTATTGAAAGGATTAGGCGTGTAGAATTAATAGGGGAAAACACGGATCAACGGTCAGTGAAACAAAGAACGAGAGATGGAGACTCGCGGATAGAAATGAAAGGGAAGTAGGAGTACAGCGAGTTCATACATTTGTCAAAGTACCTGTTTCTCCGTCTGCTGCAACACAGCTTGCTTCTGAGAACACATTCATGGGGTTTGGGGCTGCAATCGGCAATGGATTGATTTAGATTATTTGGGCGTTGGTCGCTTTGATGTGGGACTGACTAGACGCTAGGCACCCAATTTTAAAACACCTTGAAGATGAGTCAGGGGGTGCGTTCCTCTACCTGGTCCGGAATGCGGACGCATGTAGTCAAAACGGTGGATACAGTCGTGCCCAACAACCATTGCTGGAGCCAAATTGTCCATTGTGTGTTCAGACTCCAAGCCTTCGAAAGGTTTAAGCTAACCGAATCTGGAACAAAAAGGTGATACACAAAAGTATTGGGTAATACCCAGCTGAGAACGGATGAGGGCGAACAGAGAATTTCACGAATACCATACAGAGTAGAATAAAGCAAGGTAGTATGTATACGTACTAATATATATATATATATATATGTATATAGTAGGCAATAGTAGGTCGCAATACTTATAAAAGTATGCACCATGATGGACTGTGTTCCACAGATCTAGCTTTGGTCAAGCGCCGCAAGCCTTTTGTACGACTTACCCTGCGGTCCACTGATCATCTGGGTGAACCTTTTTTGCACTGCCTGAAGCAGTTGTTTATCCCTTACTAGGGGAAGGGGCTCACCCCTGGACACAGTAATCCAAATGTGGTCACACAAACGCTTTATACGGTGGCAAGAGTACTTTAGTCTCCCTTGATATTACCGTTCGACAGAGTTGGAATAAAGCTCTATTGGCCTTCGTTGTGGCTGCTGCTCATTGCATTGAGGGTTTAAAGGAGGAGTGTATCTGCGCCCCTAGATCCCTGACCAAATGGGTAGATTTAATGGCGTCCGTCGACCCAGTGTCTAGATGACGCCCCTCCGCTGCCTTTTTGTTCAGCAGCAGGTGCGAGCATTTGCTGGCGTTGAGAGGTACCTCCCACGTGTCCGCCCAGCCATGAATTGCTTTTAGTGCATCTTGTAAGTCCCCCCATGATGGATCAAGGTAGCAAACTTTAACTCGATCTCCTATGTCCACCCTGTCTTTTACCTCGTCCAGAAATAATAGCACATTAATGAGACACGACTTTCGGTTGACAAAGCTGTGTTGTTGGCCAGAAATGAGGTGTTGGTCGCCCAAATATCCCCCCAACCTCTTTCTAAGCAGACGCTCGAAGGTTTGCAGGACTGCCGAAAGCAGGCTCACTGGGCGATAGTACGATGCAGCCTCCCTTATCCCACCCTTGTGGATTGGCACCAATTCTGTCGTGGTCCAGCCAGCCGGCAAGGGATCGGTGGAAAAGCTGAGTCAGCGCACCTGCAAGGATGCCAGCAATAGGCCACAGGATTGCTGGATGCAGCCCATCGGGGCCCGCGGCCTTGTTCTAATCTAGCTATTTCAGTGCTGCTTCTACCTACCTCGGTATGCCCTTAGAGTTCCGCGTTAAACAACTTGTTGGCCTGCGTCTCAGCGACAACAGCCTCGACACACCTAAGAACCTCCCAAGTTATATACAAGGCCAGGATGCCAGCCTAACGTCGACGGGAATATCCTCCGTTTGTCTTCGATGTAAACTCTAGCAAAGAGCTAATCTTTCATATTGCAGTATTTTGGACAATCGTACACGCTGACAAAACTCAAAGAAATGATCGACAGGGTGCACGCTAAACAACCAACTGTCGATCACCTCCTGCAGGCGGCACAGACTACTTACTCCTCGGCCAACGCCGAACTTGTGGCCTATGTCAAAGAATTAGTAGCTCAGGTCCGAGCGTTGACAATGTATCGCGATCGCCCACGACGATGCCGTCTGACACTCCCGCCTGGTGTGCGACTGTACGGCCCTGCAGCGTGTACAACGGAGGGCGACAAAATTTGTGCAGGGTTTGTCCTTTACTCCTTACCCTACACGCCTTTCCATCTTGAACCTGTACTCCCTTGAAAACCGCCGGATAACATCGTCCTACTTTACAATCTCTTCAATTCCGGCAGGGTCGATCATTTCGTTGTGCGCACTAGTAAGAATAATCTTCGTGGGCGTAGCATGAAACTCTTCAAACCGCGTGCCCATACACTAGTCCGTCGGTGCTCTTTCACCCACAGGATCATTCCTCTTTGAAATAGCCTCCCCCAAGAAGTAGTAATCTCCCCACAAGATCCGCTTTTAAAAGGAATCCAGGCCGGTATCTTGGTCTTATCCCTGAACGGTAAACATCTCCCCACCTCTTAGTGTTATTGATTCCATGTTCAGCATTTTTTCCTGTACTTTCCAATTTCTCGCACTGCATGCAGATACTGCACCCCCTCATCTTCTCTTCCCTAATTTCAGGTAACCTTCCTGTACAAACATGACGCAGACACAATAATTTCCCAACATCCGCCGCAGTGGAGCCTTGTCCGTACCCGGCTCATACGGACACAGGAACAAAAGAAACCTTGAAAAATACTAAGATCCGGGACCATTGGGCCTAGCTTCACATTCGTGTAATACTTCTAGACTTCAAGAGTTCAAGACACGCTCCAACCAACCGTAGCCCTAGGCGCTCACAATCATGCTCACCGTCCAAAGGATTTTGCTGATACGACCGCCACTACGGTGATGCCGCCAAGAGTCCTAACGCCATAGCGAGAAACCGGTGGGCTGACCAGCCCAGGAGACGACCGTGTCCGGCTCGCCGCAACCAAGTGGCCTGCTTTTTGTCATGGACCGAAATATCGGGATACGTCTCATTGTAGACACAGGTGCACGGGTCAGCGTATTACTGTGGTGATTGTAGTAGTGTTGTGAGATACTACATTTGTGAGTAGTGCGCAAAAAGATACCACCAGCGGTTTCTTTGAAAGACCAAAAGTGAACAATACTCGTTGGACAAAACTGCTGCTTTTCGGTATGGTTAATACAAGAATCCGCATCAGATAGTGGACCGTTCCATCAACTATCCTGTTTGTGTTCAGAAATTCTGCAAACTTGTTCCAGATGAGATAGTTTGTTGTATAGGTGACGATTTAACTATATCCTGACCGTTGATGGCAATAAACGAATATCCTTGACCAGCATCTTATTCTGGAATTATAACGATAGTAGTAATAACAATACGCACTGCATTCGGAATACGAACCATGCTATACGGATCATGGAATACGAATCAAGGATTAGCAATCACGGACTTGATCACGTAAGCACTGGACCGCACTGGCACTAGCACGCAATATCCCACGAAACTGTGACGTGAGGAAAAGGCCACAAGAGTAGTGGTTCGTTTATTGGAATAAGTAATGGGGATTATATAACATGTAAAATTTAGTTCATTGATTATCCGGGCTTCTATCATTCTCGTTCCAGTGCTGCTTATGTCGTTCTGCCTCTGTCTGCACTGCACGGTTTCTGAGTGGCTGATATGATCTGCCTATGGTATGTAGCCAGAAGCAGTGACACGTACATGCGCTGTTGACGTCACCCGTGGAGTTTGATTGGTCGTAGTTGTCCAAAAACTGTAACTCGTCGCTGCAGGGTACGCGTTCTGTCGCAGGCCTTGGTCACCACACTTGAGCGCTCGTCCAGGTGCCCTCTCTCGTTCTGGTCGCCGCGACCCGCACACCCATCAAGCGGCGAGCATTCACTCACACTGAACCGCGGTATTTGGTGCGGCTTAACCTACTTCAAGCGATAACCGGTATTGCCCATCATATAGTCACTTGCGGTCCACCTGTCCACCGCCGCCTCAGACACCTTGACCCGGAAAAGCTTGAAGTATCCCGCTCTGAATTTCAGCGCATGATGGATCTCGGAATCATCCGACAATCCTCCAGCCCCTCAGCTTTAACATTACACATGGTTCCCAAAGAGTACCCCGGCGACTAGCGGTCATGGTCACTACCACGCCTTAAAGAAAATCACCACGCTGGAACGCTAACCCATCCCTCACATCCAAGATCTTACAGATCGTGTGGGGGGGATGTAAAGCATTTAGTAAGATCGACTTAGTTCGTGCATACGAACAGATCCTGGTTCATCCCGAGGTTTCCCAATAATGCGGTAACCACACCGTTTGGTCTGTCTGAGTTTCTGCGTATGCCCTGCGTATGGTCAACGAAACGCAGATCAAACATTTCAACGTTTCAGCGATCGGGTTTCTCACGGTTTAGATAGCACCTTCGCGTATCTGGATGACATCCTCGTAGCCAGCGCCACTTCGGATGAGCACGAGCAGCATCTACGCGCTCTCATTACGCGTTTCCATCAGAAAAGGATAACAATAAACGGGGTAAAGTGCTCTTTCGGAAAACCTAGCATAACCGTTTTATGCCACCGGATCTCCAAATTTGGCGTTGCACATCTGCAAGACAAGGTGCTAGCCATTTCGAAGTACCCAGAACCTACATCGCTGAAATAGCTTAGACGGTTCCATTGGTTAGTGAACTACTATAGGCGTCTTATTCCCAGGTGTGTCGAGCTCATGCAATCACTACCAGACTTCTTGCGTGGGAACTGCAAAATGTTTACATTCCCAGAAGGGGCGCGAAAGACATTCATTAGCCTGAAACAAGCCATCTCCAATATGGCCTCTGTTTCACATTAGGTTCCCGGTACCCCTCTGGCGGTAACCACCGATGACTCTGATATAGCGGTGGGTATGTTATTTCAACAACGCCTTGCAACCGCTTTCTTTCTTTTCCAAGTGGCTTCAATCATCCGAGTCACGATACAGCACTTTCGGTCGGGAACTACTAGCCATTTACCTCGCAATACGGCATTTCATACACGTGCTTGAAGGCTGTCTTTTCGTCGTATTCACCGACCATAAGCCGCTAATCTACGTGCTTCGCTCCAACTCCGACAGGTACTCTCCTAGAGGGTCCAGATATCTAAACTATATCACTCAGATGAAGAATTAACCATACCAGGCTATTCACATATCAGAGAAGACTCCAACCGCGGAAGAGCAGGTGGGTTTATAATTTATTTGAAGCACCATACTCCCAGAAGCTTCGTAATTACTAATCCTATCCCTCTAATAAACATTCTGTGGATCTGTTTTCAGATCTCAAGAACAATCAACTTCCTGATTTGTACAGTTTATCGCCCAACATCGTCCAATCTATTATGAAACCAGCTCCCGGTAGACCAAGTTGTAAGTAAATCAAATCCCGTTTGAGTGACGCGTAGCGAAAATCGATACGAATCCCAAAACAATACACGATTAATTCGTAGTGTTCTACGGTACTGAATTGGGGAAACCATTACAAAATGTACAATTAAGTAAATTTCAATGCGAGAGCCAAATATAATATCCAGAGAGAGCCAACAAGTCGCTCACGTTCTCGGACCACGCCAATTTGAAATGTAGCGGGTATAAAATCAACATATAAAGAATAATGTGGTGTTTGTGATTGAGAAAGGTCAATAGGGAAGTAACACAACGATAGAGTTATGACACAGAATCATCGTGAGTTTGGAAGAATTTTCCAAAGAAATCAACATGAAGTACACGGCCGCCAACATCCTTCCTCCCCTCGTCTGAGTCAAAGGGTTGGCACAGGTCATTGATTCTTACCTACCTATCTACCTACCTAGTTCCTGTTGTCAGTGCTTCTAACTACGAACTGGTCAACCTTCGTCGCACTCGTCGATCTTGACCTCCGATGACTTGCACGTTCCTTCACCGAGATCTGCCCTCGCATCAGTCTGCTCGCAGCCAGTCACACGATCAAGGTAACAATGGATCAAATATCTATCATTGCAGATAAGGTCTTGGTGTAAACAAGGGTGGTACATATGGACGGTGTGATTATTAATCGTGTTTACAAATGAAATCATGTTCAGCATTCGGGTAATGATGCGTATGTAAATGGATGAGTGTTGTGAGGACGTGGGTTACACCATCGAGGTTCATGTGACGAATTGTGCATCAACCAAAATAAACGGACACTTAGTTACGAAAATGGACTAGAGAGGACGTATGCTAAGGACGTAGAAGCACGGGTTCGTACAATTGGGGTGAATAGCACTCGGGCACAACTGGTACAAGGGGCATATAAATCTATATAATACAGGGCGGGTTTCCACAACTTCATCAAGTAACTGCACGATAGTCATCTCCCTCCAATACCCACATTCGAAGAATGTGGCGCACCTTTTCACTGGCAGATGTTTTCAATTTCACTGTTCTTACTAGTCCGTCTGGGTTTGAGTGGTTTTCTATGACTTCATCCAGTGGCCAGTTGTCGCGTTGTAGCTTTTCGTCGGCCACAAGGATAACGTCTCCAACCCTCAGCAAACTGTTCTCTACGAAACCACTTTTGTCAGGCTTGAAAAGGTGGCAGATACTCTCTTGTCCAACGCTTCCAAAACACCTCTACCAGGTAGTTCTCATGCTTCCAACCCGAGGTATGGCAGCCAATAAAGGGTTTTGGCATACCTAAGACCGCATCGGACCTCAGTAACAGGTGACTGGGAGCTAGCGCCAGTCCTTGCAGGTCGTCGCTTGTGACGGGTACCAGCGGTCGGTTGTTGAGTATTCTTTCCGCTTCTACTAGAAATGTAGTACAAGATTCGACGTCCGGAGCCCGTTCTTCACATAATGCTGTCATAATGCTGTCAATATTCTCCGTATCGACCGTACAAGCCGTTCCAAGCTCCTCCACGGTGACTGCTGTAGGGTTGGTTGAAGTGCCATTGGATCGCAGACGGCGACAGCCGGTCTTCCAGGGCGCATTCGTCTAACCGCTTGGATTCCGCTCAACTCTCTTTGTGCACCGACAAAGTTGAATCCTTAACGGAGAACACGTTCGATGGGTTGCCTCTTCTACCCACGCATCTCTGCCAGGCCATGAGAAAGGAGTCGGTCGACGTGCTGTGTACGGTCTCTAT